AGACAGGGTCATCGCTCTAAAACAAGACTGAACGAGGCAGGACATCCAAATGACTACTGTCTTCAAGAGTCATATTTACTATGGGAGGCCCTAAACTTGAACTAATTCAGACCTAGTGCCATTCCAGGATGTTTTTTGATCTCTGCTTTTGAAAATATTGTCCAGCCATTAGGTGAACCTCTAAAGCAGGGATCAGCAAATGTTTTCCGTTAAGGGCCAGAGAGAGTAAATATTTTCAGCTTTGCAGCCAGAATGTCTGTCACAACTATGCAACTCCACCATTATAGCATGAAAGCAGCCATAGACAATACATAAAAGAATGATTGTAGCTGTGTTCCAATAAAACTTTATTTAAACATACAGATGAAGGGCCACATTTGGCCCAAGGGCCATAGTTTCCTAACCTTTGATCTAGGACAGTGCTGTCCAGTAGAAATAGAATGCAAACGACATAAGTAATTTAAATTTTTCTAGTAGCTGCATTATAAAAAGTAAAATGAAATAGGTTAGTTTAATTTTAATAATATATTTTATTGAATCCAGTATGTCCACAATATTATCATTTCAACATGAAATCAATATAAAAATTATTGAGATATTTTACATTCCTTTTTGCTTCCTAAGACTTAGAAATCCCATATTTTACACGTACAGCCTATCTGAATTTGAATAGTCACATTTCAAGTGCTCATTGTCCACATGGGCTAGTGCTTACTGTTTTGGACAGCACAGCTTTAATGGGGCGGGCTGACATTATAAGGAGACAGTCGTACACATAATCAATACACAACTGATAAGCACCATGAATGGATAGTAGAGGGTGCTATGCATAGGGACCGGGAAACAATAAAGGGATCTTCTGTGACTTGCCCTCATCTCTGCCCTGAATTCCTTTTTGGAAGTCAATAGCAGGGCTTTCCTGGTGGTCCAGTGGTAAGGAATCCACCTTCCAATGCAGGGGATGCGGGTTTGATCCCTGGTCGGGAACTAAGATCCCACATACCATGGGGCAACTAAACCAGTGCACCACAACTACTGAGCTCGTGCGCCTCAACAAGAGAGCCCGCATGCTGCAAACTACAGAGAGAAAACCCACACGCCACAACTAGAGACAAACCTGAGTACTGCAACAAAGAACCCGTGCCGCAACAAAAGATCCCACATGCCTCAACGAAGACCCCACGTTCTGCAACTAAGACGCAACACAGCCAAAAAAAGAAAGAAAGAAAAGAAATAAATCAGAAGTCAATAGAACATTCTTACGCCTATCGTAAACTCCAGCTACCGCACATGCTTAGCATGGACGACTATAAAATGAAGCATTCAGACTTTGTGCTGGCTCATCTTTGATAATTCTCCATCTAGGGATCGGGAGATGAATTGCTTTTGTTTCTCATGGCTTTTCTTGGACCTCAGGTCAGCAGCATAGCAGCCCCTGACCTGGTACAGCCATAGATAGCAAATCAAGGCATCAGCATCCAGATGGGGTCCGAGTGATTGTCCCCACTGGCTGGGATGTTTTTTCTATCCAGGAGAAAGGGGCCCACATCTGGATTCAGAACAGAAATTTCAACCCCCAGACCTGGTGTGAATCTCACTCTACCATTTACTTACTGAGTGACCTTGGGCAAGTTACTTAACCTCGCTGAGCCTTAGTTTCCTCATCTGTACAATGGGGATAATGACAGCAGCTACCTTCAGTGATTGGTGTATGGAGAGGGATGATTATGAATAGTAAGTATCTGGTACATGGTAAACTCTGAATATTACATTATTATTATTATTAGTGCATCAAGGATGTCCCCCCAAACTCTGAATTAATTGCCCCCTCCTCACATTAATCTGGAGACTCCAGTGTTTGCATCACCTCCTCCTGTGTTACGGTTCCTCTTTGGCATTGCTGTGTCTCCCACTCAGCTGTGAGTTCCCAGAACAGGAACTGTGTTTCGTACATCTTAGCAAGAATAAAACTCTTCCCTTTGCCTAGATTCTAGAACATTATTTCTGTCCATCACCATCTTCCCCTTCTGGGAGATAATTCCTGATGTTCCTTCCACCCATCAAACTGGGTCAGTCTCCCCCCACTTACACACTCTCAAGCCCCCCTGTGCTTTTCCTTTGAAGCATTTAGCACATGTAATTAATGAATTATCTGGGGAATCTGCCTTTTTTTTTTTTTTTTTTTGCGGTACACGGGCCTCTTACTGTTGTGGGCTCTCCCGTTGCGGAGCACAGGCTCCGGACGCGCAGGCTCAGCGGCCATGGCTCACAGGCCCAGCCACTCTGCGGCATGTGGGATCTTCGCGGACCAGGGCACGAACCCGTGTCCCCTGCATCGGCAGGCGGACTCTCAACCACTGCGCCATCAGGGAAGCCCTGGGGAATCTGCTTTAATGTCCGTCTCCCCACTGGACTGTGAGTCCTCTAAGGGTGGGGCTTGAGGCTGCATTATTCATCGCTGAGTTCTCAGCTCACAGGTCATGGCACATAGCAGGTGCTCAGGAAATGTTTGTTGAATGTATGAGAGACTGTCATTCACTCTGGAAGGTAAGCGACCAGAGATTGCTCTCAGAATAACAACAAGAGAGCTTAAAGAGCTTTTGTAACTGACCTTTTTAAAATCACTTGCTCAACATCCACCATATATTTCTCTCCACCTCTCTTAAATAAAAAGTCTCTGTGGACCTTGTAAAACCTTCAAGCCATGCTGTCCAGTAGAAATATAATGTGATCCACACATGTACTTTTACATTTTGTAGTACCTACATTTTAAAAAGTAAAAGAAAACAGGTGAAATGAATTTTAATAATATATTTTATTTAACCCAGAATACCCAAAATTTTATCACTTCAACATGTAATCAACATAAGAATAGCTGATGAGCTATTGTACATTCTCTCTTTTTTTGAGCTAAGGCTTTGAAATCCGGTGCATATTTGCACTCACAGCACATCTGGATTTGGACTTGCCACGTTTCAAGTGCTTAGTACCCACATGAGGCTCATGGCTGTCATATTGGAAGCTGCAGAGAAACTGCTGTGGTTTTCAAATTATTCTTCCCAGAGTGCCCTGCTGTGTGTGGAGGCGAGGCTTTTCTCAGGTAGTCTTCATAGGACACCAGAGATGAGCACAGCTGAAGTTTATCATCCAGCACTGGGCAGAACCTGTCCCCATAACAGGCAAGAAGGAAGGAAGGGGTTGATCATACCAAGAGGTGACATGTCTGTGGGGCTTAATGCATGCTAGGAGTTTTGCAAAGGGCTTTACATTGTGTTAAGTCATTTGATCCTCTAGCGACGCTTTGAGGGAGGCTATCATATTATTATCCCCGTTTTACAGGTGGGGAAGTAGAGGCACAGGGATTGAAGTGACCCACCTGTTCAAGGACACACAGATAATAAGTGATGGAGCTGGGATTTGAACCCAGGCAGCCTGGCTCCAGGACCTATACCTCGGTTGATCACCTCTGTGAGCAGACTGTCTCAGAATTGGGCCCTGCCATTTCTCTACAATTGTGTCACAGACAGGATCTAGAGTCAGTGCTACCCACTTGGATTTGTTCATTCAACAAATTATGTTGAGCCCCTTCTGTGCACCAGACCACACGCTCACAGAGCTTACTTTGAGGGGAGGAATTCAATAACAGACACTTCCCCAAATGGCGTTACTGGGATTCATAGGAAAAGCCCAGCTCTGAAAGAGGGTGTTGACAAGTAGATGCTCTGATAGAGTCATCATTTAGCAAGTTGGCACCAGAGGGAGAGGTATTTCAGTGCCAGGGGGAATAAAGCTCTGTTCCAGTCCAAAGGGGGATGCCAGCCCAGTGTGTCCTCGAGGAGGTAGGGATGGTGACCTGTGGGTGCCAGGAGCTTGGTCCAACAGTATGCCAGGAAGGCCCAGGACTAATGCCAAGGGGAGTGGTCAAGAAGAGCCAGCATCAAGACAGTTGTGAGGCCGGAGCTCAGAATTCACAGCCAGGAGCGGAGGGATGAGATGCTGCTGAGCCCCAGAAACACATCTTACGGAGTCTCACTGGCAGAACAATAAAAGTCTGTGAGCAAGAGAACGAATGCATGAAAGTAGCTCCTCACTACTGGTCATCCAGTCATTTGGTGTATTCATCAATCAAGAGGCATTTATTGAGCACCTTTGGTATGCCAGGAACTGTTTCACAAGCTGTCACTCTTGACATTTGTTGAAACTGATATCTTACTAGAAATTCAACAATTTCTCTTTAATTTTCAGTGGCAAGACATATTCCCCAGATGTGTCCCACTTTTCTACAAAACGTGTCATATTTGAACCTCTGACATTAATAACAGGAATAATAGTAACAGCTGTTAATAACCTACTGTTGTGCCAGGCCCTGTGCTAAGCACTTATATATAGCTTCTTTTGATCCTCACAACAGGCCTAAGAGGTAGTTTCTATTATTTACCCCTTTTTTTTTGCGGTACGCGGGCCTCTCATTGCTGTGGCCTCTCCCGCTGCGGAGCACAGGCTCCGGACGCGCAGGCTCAGCGGCCATGGCTCACAGGCCCAGCTGCTCCGCGTCATGTGGGATCTTCCTGGACCGGGGCACAAACCCGTGTCCCCTGCATCAGTAGGCAGACTCTCAACCACTGCGCCACCAGGGAAGCCCCATTTACCCCCATTTTACATATGAGGAAACTGAGGATCAGAGGAGGGGCAGTGACTTGCCCAAGGTCACACAGCCAGATGCAGTGGAGCTGGAACTTGAACCCAGACTTTCTACTCCACACTTTTTTCTTTCTTTTTTTTTTTTTTTTAACAGGCGAAGTCTATTTATTTAGAACTTGCTCTGGCAAAGGAGTCAGCCACCAGCAGCTGAATTTTGGCAGTCTACTCCATACTTTTAATCTTCATTTCCCTTCTTCCTCCCCCCAATCCCATGTTTGCACATATAGAAAATGATTAAATTTGCTTCTAGACTCAGATGCTGTGGTCACACGTGATTCTTTCTCTTGTTGTTTCCAAAGGTGGTGGCTCTTAGTAAGAGAAGTCAGGAGGCCGAAGCCGCTTTCCTGAGCGTTTACAAGCAGTTAATTGAAGCACCAGGTAAGACATGCTTGGGCTCCGTGAGTGAATAATTAACAAAAATAAACTGCTGTTAGGACTGTTGCACAGGGGCCTCCTCTCAGTGGCATCTGGGGACAGGCCAAGACTCCTGGGTGAGGCCAGGCCCTCCATGGGTAGGAGTTGTAGGGACTGAGGGGGTCTACACCCAGTCTGGTGTGATGTGTCCCCACACGACTCTTCCATCTTACCCCACTGCCTTCCAACATCAGCCAGGGAGCTTTGGGGGGCTCCTGGTAAGATCTCCCACCTGGATCTTCTTGGGGAGCCGAGTGTCTTGCCCACCAGAACCCCCATCCCTTTGCCACAAGGGGCAGAAGGCACCCAGTGCTCTCTGCCAGCAGAGGGCGCTGGAGGAAAGACTGCAAATGTCTCCTCCAACATGGCACGGCCAACCTCAAAAACTTGATGTTCCTCAAAAACCAAACCCAAAAAAGCATATACTGTATGACTCCATTTACATAAAATATGAAGACAGGCAAAAATTAATGTCAGCACTATTCACAATGGCTAAAAGGGGGAACAACCCAAATGTCCATCAGTGGATGAAAAATAAAATGTGGTTTACCAATCCAGTGGAATATTATTTAGCCATAAAAAGTAATGCAGTACTGACACATGCTACAGAGTGGATGAACCTTAAAAACATGATGCTGAGTGAAAGAAGCCAGATGCAAGAGGTCACACAGTTTATGATTTCATTTGTATGAAGTATCCAAAATAGGCAAATCTATAGAGACAGAAATCAGATTGGTGGTTACCAATCTGGGGGCAGGAGAGAATGGGGAGTGAATGCTTAATGGGTATGAGGTTTCCTTTTAGGGGAATAAAAATGTTCTGGGACTAGATAGAGGTGGTGGTTGCACAACATCATGAATGAACTAACTGGCACTGAATTGTTCGCTATAAAATGGTAAATTTTGCGTTACAGAATTTCACCTAAAAAAAAAAAAAAGGCACCTGTGCTGTTAGAAGTCAAGAGAGTGGTTTCTCTTGGATGGGGCGATAGTTCCTGGGGGCCTTTGGGGGCTGGAGATGTTGCTTCTTGATCTGGGTGTGGATTACAGAGGTATGATCAGCTTGAGAGCTTCAACTGTGTACCTAAATATGTAGATATACTTCTGCAAAAAGTTTCCCTTTTTTTTTTTTTTTTTGCGGTACGCGGGCCTCTCACTGTTGTGGCCTCTCCCGTTGCGGAGCACAGGCTCCAGACGCGCAGGCTCAGTGGCCATGGCTCACGGGCCCAGCTGCTCCGTGGCATGTGGGATCTTCCCAGACCAGGGCACGAACGCGTGTCCCCTGCATTGGCAGGCAGACTCTCAACCACTGCACCACCAGGGAAGCCCAAGTTCCCTTTTTGAAAATGGCCCGTCCTCTGCACGTTTTCATTTATTGACCTAGAGATGGGAACCCAGAATGTAGTGATTTGCTTAATAATGGTGGAGCTGGGAGACAACTCCACTGTGCTAACTCCCTCCACCCAGACAGCCCCTTTAATCCATTTCTAGTACTTCCACACAGCTGCAGGAATTAGTGCTATCAGAGGTGACTGGAGCTGGGGGTTTACGAAGAAGAAAATGAGATCCCACTCTAGGCTGAGCCATGGAGAAGGCAAAGTCATTTATATTTGATGTCAAGGTTGTTTGTGAGATCTTTGTGCAGGGGATGGGAAAGTCCCTCGTTCCATCTGTCTTGGCAGTTGTGGTGGTTTAAATAGTGTCCTCCCAAAATTTATGTCCACTCTGAACCTCGTAGTGTGGCCTTATTTGGAAACAGGGTCTTTGCAGATGTAATTAGTTAAGGATCTTGAGATGAGATCATCCTGGACTTAGGGAGGACCCTAAATCCAATGAAGGGTGTCTTTATAAGAAGAGGAGAGGGAGTTTTGGGACAGACACAGGGAAGAGGGCCATGTGAAGACAGAGGCGGAGTTTGGAGTGATGCAACTACAAGCCAAGGAATGCCTGAGGCTACCAGGAGCTGGAAGAGGCAAGGAAGGATCCTCCACTAGAGCCTTCAGAAGGAGCACAGCCCTGACAGCAACTTGAGTTTGGACTTCTGGCCTCCAGAACTGTGAGAGAATAAACTTTTGTGGCTTTAAGCCACCTTAGTGGGTGGTGCTCTGTTATGGCTGCCCCAGGAAACTAATACAGCAACAATGATGTGAAGCTTCCCCTCCAAAAGCACGTGAGCTGGGTGGTGAGGGAAGTCTTCTAGCCTGTTCTACTCAAAGTGTAGTCCATGGACCAGCAGCATTGGCTTCGCCTGGAGCTCGTTAGAAATACAGAACCTCGGGCCATTGAAGCGTCTGCATTTTAACAAGTTCCCCAGGGGATCCGGGAGCACATCACAGTCAGAGAAGCAGTGGCCAGGTGTAGAAGTTGCATGTGCTCTACCCTCTGCATGTTACAAGCCCCAAAGGAACAGGCCCTACCAGTCCCTGTCTCCCTGGTGCAAAGAAGTTGAGTCCAGTGCCTGATGCCTCACAGCCAGGGAGAGATGGGACTCAGCTCTTGATACATTCAACAACTATTTCTAGAATGTCTGCTCATGTCACAACTTGGCTACTCGTGGGAGGTTATGTTATTTCCCATTGCTGTAACAAACTGCCGCAAACTGGGTGGCTTAAAACAACAGATCCTTATTCTTTCTCAGTTCTGGAGGCCAGAAGTCTGAAATCAAGGTGTCGGCAGGGCTCTGCTCCCTCCAAAGACAAACACTGTTTGGTGTAGAGAGCAGAAAGCTGAGTAACTTGCATCCTTCACGTTACACACTGTATTTCAATAGGGGAGGACTCTTCCCTACCTCTTCCAGCTTCTGGTGGCTCCAGGTGTCCCTTGGCTTGTGGCTGCATCACTCCAGTCTCTGCCTCTGTCTGCACATGGCCTTCTTCCCTCTGTGTCTCTGGGTCCCAAATCCCCCTCTTTGTTCTCTTATAAGGACACTGGTCATTGGATTTAGGCCCCGCCCAGATAATCCAGGATGATCTCATCTCAAGATCCTTAACTTAATTACATTTGCAAAAGATCCTTTTCCAAAAAAGGTCACATTTACAGGTTCCAGGCATTAGGACATGGATGTATATTTTGGGGTCACCATTCAGCCCACTACAGAGGCACCTGCAGACTCGACTCGCTCTGCTCCAGTCCTGTGCTCTGCCCTGATTCTGCACTCGCAGGAAGGCAGCATGGCCACATGGGTTTTCTCAGTCAGAATGTTTTGGCGGCAAGAATGGCTGGAACCAGACAGCACAGCTCTCCAGGCTCTGTGCCTTCCCCCTGCCAGGGCATGGCCCTGTGGTATGAGGCCAAGACAGCTGTGTCTGCAGCCCTAGTCGTTATCACCCTTACTGAGGACCACACCAGGCACGTGGCCGAGAGACCGAGAGGCCGCCCCATTCCTTGCAGCCTTTTTGCTTATGATGTCTCCACCCTTATCAGAGCTATCTGGGAAAAAATTTGGAAAAATACACCCTCTTATTTCCCACTCTTTTCAATTCTTTGGATTGCACAGTCTCAGTGGCGAATGACAATGGAGGGTGACCCAGTACAGACCCCAGAGATACCTCCCACGAGTCCACATGCCCAGCTCCTCCACCGGGCGTCATAGTACCTTTCCTGTAGCACCAGGGGGCAGCACTGAGATGGGCTTGTGTTTCCAGGCAAAGACCCCAATTCAAATCCTGCCTGTACCACTTACTCATTGGGTAACTGTGGACGAATTAATTCACCTCCCTGAGCTTCAGTCTTCACTTCTATAAATTGGGAATAATATCAGAGTCTGTCTCATACAGTCATTGGGAGGCTTCAGCGTGCATGGCGCAGAGTGGCACTTGCTAAGTGTTAACTGTTCTTATCATCATCTGTGTGTCCCTAGGACAAGTGAAATTCTCCAAGCCTGGGACTGAGTCATAGTAAACCTGTGTACCCTGAATCCAGTACACAGTAGGCACCTAATAATTGTTTGTTGAATGAATTAGAAATAAGATTCAGACGCAGAAAGTGGGAGAAGAGTTATTTGAATGAAAAGGTACTTTTTTCTACTAGTGCTTCCTGCTTGTCACGTGTTTATCTACTCAGATGGCATTTATTGAGTGCCTCCTGTGTGCCCAGCACTCACTAGACACTGGGAACATAACCATGAGCCTGCCGATACAGACACGGGCCCAGACCTCAGAGAACTTGCATTCTGGTGGCAGAGGTAAACAGATCATCACTCAAGTAACCTGTTGTCTCAAACCCAGGGGAGCGTTTGGGGGTGAGAAGGGGCTTACAGCCCCCATGTGGGAGAGAGTATCATTTCTGGGGTTCACTGTGGACCCACATCTTTCTGAAAATATGTTAACCCACGAGGCCAGAACCGCGGTGCCAGTCAGGGACCGTGAGCGCTCCCAAGATTGGCATGGAACTTCCTGGAAAGTTCCCGTGCTCTCTTGCCCCTCTCCCTAAACGGTCATTCCAAGCCTAGTGCTGACTCCACGTGTCTGATTTCCCAACTCTACTCCCCAGAAATGGAGGGGTGGGGGGGACATACATCCCCAGCTGTCACCAAGCTAGAGAACGAGGAACCTTAACTGATGGAGACATACCATACGAACAGCCCCTTCAGGGCTCTAATTCATTTTCAAGACATTTAAGAATAACAAAATGTTTTAATGATTTCTTAGGGGAATTAGGAAGACATATTTTTGTTCTCATTAAATTGTATCCTCAGACACAAGAACCAAATGTCAGATGTGTTGCTGGTGCTCGGAGCTTCCCTGTTCACTGTCCCTGCCACACATGCCTCCCCAGCTCCTCCATAAAAATAACACTCCTGGAAAATTTGCCAGGATGAACACTCTCCTGTTTTTATACTTCTTGACAGGCAAATTATTTGTCGAAATACTTCCCATCCACACCTCCCCCCCGAAGCCACACAAGTCCTGATTCAACATTTTTGTTTTGAGTGACTGCTGCCAACACAAATCTTTGGCAGAGAAT